ACCGCGAGGAGGTCGACCTGGTTGGGTATATTGCTAGCAATGGGTTTCTCAGTCTCCATTATTAACAATCCCTTCCCCCCCCCCCCCCCCCCCATTTATTATATTAGGTACCATCAGGTGAGTCACAAGTATACTCGTTTGCGCCCTGTGTTGTAACAAAATTGCTCAGTGTTTGGCCACGTGACAGAATTCGAATAATTGTCCATCAGGTTACGTCAATACATACCATACCTTCTTCCTGTGACTTCCTCAAATCTATTGCTGAAAATAGATATAGTTTTAAATCAGAGCTATTCCTTATGGCAGTCTACGAGGGAAGCTTATTTTCACCAATGGAGAATTTAAAACTAATTTTTTTTTTATACAACTTAGAATGGCAATCAAGCCGACGGCCCACCTGATGGAAAGTGGAAACCGTCGTCTATAGACATGAGCAGTACCATGGACATAACAGAGTGTACTGTTTCGCCCATGATACCCCCCATGCGTTGCCATTCCTGAGGACTCAGGTGTTATTCCTCTGTACCCAGTAAATTCACGCCATATCCCATCCTTCAAACCGATACTAATAACTAAATTACTGATCACACCATGTTTGCATTTTCGGTTCATGGAACTTTTTGCTCTTTTGAGGGCAAAGCCATAAACTGAGTTGTGACCATTTTGTGTTACTATGGCACACGCATGAAAAAAAAAGAAAATTGTTGTTTTATATATTTTGCTTTTTGTTGCTTTTTTGTTTTTTATTCTTTTATCTCTTTTACTGTGTATTATGTGTATGTTTGTATTGTAATTTGTGTGCTGTAAGTAATCACTTCACTTCACCTTCTTTTTCGGCTTTGCAGATTCTTTGAGCTATATCAATCACTTTTTTGTTATACCACAAAGGTGGTAAACAAGCATACAGCCCATCTGATGATAAACGGCCATTGTAACCTATAGACGCTTGCAACACTAGAGGTGCCACGTGCACGTTGCCGATCCTGAAGAAATCTTAATATGCCCTTTTTGAAGAACCCCATACTGTAGTCTCAAGGGAGAACCTCGGCAGGGAACCCATTCCATAGCCTGAGCGTTCGTGGGAGAAAATTTCTCTGATACCGCACAGTACGTGACTAATATATATATAGAATAAATAAATAAAATGCGTACTTAAACCAACTAAATAGATTAATCACATCCGCTATTACAAATACAAGGTCACCCCCTTATCATACCGCTACTCTCAAACAATAGGTCGGCTACCTAATGGCATAGCAGTGTAGCCTACACCCCAGTGAATTGACCAAGTTATGATTCACGAATCGAACCGGCACCATTGTACCAATGACTAACTTGGAAAGGTGACAATGACTCATTACTTGAATGATTTTTATACTTGGAATGTCAAACAAGCTGCTCAAATGATCAGTAAGGGTACTCTAAAGACGAGGCGTTCTCTAGAGACCGAGCCAAGCAACAACCATTACCAGAGGGAGACTTTGTACAAAAGTCGTTTGCTTGGGTACCTCTGTCCCATTCGTGTTTCAACCATGAAGCAGTTGTGTTTGCATGGCTGTGTTTTGGTTTGAAGGATGGGATATGGCGTGAATTTACAGGGTACAGAGGAATAACACCCGAGTCCTCAGGAATGGCAACGAATGGGGGGTATCATGGGCGAATCAGTATACTCTGTTATGTCCATGGTACTGCTCATGTCTATAGGCGACGGTTACCACTTTCCATCAGGTGGGCCGTCAGCTTGTTTGCCATTCTAAGTCGTATAAAAAAAAATCGAGCCCTTAAGACTTAGGAGATATTTTGCCTCTTTTTGTGTATTCTACCGCTTGTACAACGGACTGTGCTCAGAGGAATTGTTCATTATGATGTCCACGACTACTTTCTGAGATTGGCATTGACAGGAAGTTCACCAGCACACCTCAGGTCCTACGGTAACCGCTTATTATCAGGTATCATCAGGGCCGTATGTTTATTTGGCACCTTAGTGGTATAAAAAAAAAATACATCACGGAATACACTGTGTCACTTATAATGGGCTACAATTCCAGATGATCCCGTTTTTTCATCTCAAATACTATTCTTTGAGTTTCTTATCGTCACCTTAGAGTCATAATATGAGTTTAAAATTTTTTCAATACGGCGATTTAGACTCGAAATTATTAAAAAAGTTCTTATTGGAACTACCGGCAGAGAAATATCCCAGACTCTATTGAAAAGAGCAATAGTGTCTATTCACATCGTGGTCCGAACTGCACATGGTGTGAACGAACAGAGATTCGTAAAATTTTGTCACTTTAATGACCATCCACTCTATGCAAATAGCAACGAATAGAGCAAATAGAATATGCAAATAGAACAAATTAAAATCATAAATATGTTCTAAAACAAAATTATAAAAGCCGACGAATTTTCATAAAATAAACATTTTTAAAACATGGCTATAATTTTATTTTCTACTAAATAATCGTTGTTAACTTTGTTAAAAATATAAAATTAATAGCATATTCTGACTAAGTTATTTATAATATAATTAATTATTCATTCTATTCTTAATTTTACATTTTATTTATACAATTTAAATTACGTGTCCTTATTATTAATTTTTTTTATAATATTAAAATATCTTTATTAAAAAAAAATGTTGCAAAAGGCGGACTTAATGCTAGTACTCTAGCTCTACCAGTCAACCTTTGGGATGAACAGTGAATCACGAATGCGGTACTTCATTATTGGAATAGGGTAAAGATAAAATATTATACCATATTATTATAATTTGCAATGTTATAAGGTAACCGAAATGAGGTATAGTGTCCATGACTTTGTTTTATACAACTTAGAATGGCAAACAAGCTGACGGCCCACCTGATGGAAAGTGGTAACCGTCGCCTATAGACATGGGCAGTACCATGGACACAACAGAGTATACTGTTTCGCCCATGATACCCCCCATGCGTTACTATTCCTGAGGACTCAGGTGTTATTCCTATGTACCCTGTAAATTCTGTCTGTCTAATTCTGGGTTCTGTACCTCGAAAGGAACAACGGAATCCTTAGGTAGGGGCGGAACCCCTTATTCCTTCTAAAACTTAATGGGGACTAGCGACCCCATTGCCAGCAATAAACGCTCTCAAGTCGAACTCTTTGCGGTTCCTCCTGGAAACTACCGTGATTGATTTTTAGCTGAATTCGTTACGATGGGCCAACTAACATGGTTCATCCTCACCTATCATCCCTCACTGGTACCCCGCTATTATATGCCACATAGCTCAGATGGAGTTACCATTCTATTATCAAGCATTAAAAAAAAGCCTAACCTTAAATCCAGACTCAGACTAAGACCAGTCCTACATACATTTTGTACATAGCATGTGTTTAGGATTTATTACGATGTAATTTTGGAAATAATCAAATTAAAGACGGAGACTAATTTGTATGACTTTTATAACGAATAACCAACGATAGAATAGAGAATTCAAAGCAACTTATTCTTGCCGCCCTCTCGGCCAACAAAAAAGAATCAGGCGTTTAAACAGCATGAATATGAAAGCAAGAGTAATATTACAAAACTATATATACGCACCGCAGACACAGTTCGAGTCCGAGGGCTTAGGAAAGAGGAGAATGTTTCTAGGAACGGCCGGCGGCCCGTCGGTTAATGGCTGACAATTTCCGCTGAACACGCACCACTAGATGGCGTTACTACTATTTCGATGCACAACTTGTTTCAAAGGAACGTTGAAATAGTGTTGTACAATGTTTCAGATGTTGACGGATAACCACCAACACCTTCTAACTGACATTTTTAAAACAGTTGTAGATTTTTTTACTAAGTAAATTTAGAGAAAAAAAAAAATACTACACATAATCTATAATTACATAATCTATAGTTAAAGAACCTTAGCGGCTAACCTTTACCATAGGGAGATTTTGTACAAAAGTCGATTGCTTGGGTACCTCTGTCCCATTCGTGTTTCAACCATGAAGCAGTTGTGTTTGCATGGCTGTGTTTCGGTTTGAATGATGGGATATGGGGTGAATTTACAGGGTACAGAGGAATAACACCAGAGTCCTCAGGAATGGCAACGCATGGGGGGTTGTCATGGGCGAAACAGTATAGTCTGTTATGTCCATGGTACTGCTCATGTCTATAGGCGACGGTTACTACTTTCCATCAGGTGGGCCGTCAGCTTGTTTGCCATTCTAAGTTGTATAAAAAAAATAATATGAAATTTAGTACACACGTATTATATGGAATGAAGAAGGACTTTTATTCTACTTTTTATCCCGGTCAGTAAAAACATAACAAAGCCACGAGTAAATGCTAGTCTGTGATAATCTTCAAAAATTTACAAAATAATAGTCTAAATACGTATTTGTATACATACAAAAAGATACTTAGAACATCTTATTTCCAAAACCAAGCAAGGAACACAAACGTTTGCTTCTGTACATTTTATTGATAGCTCATCCTTTGATCTGGCGTTTAAATGCCGCGCTACAAAACGTGGATCACATGTTCGGAACTCGTATAAAGGGCACTGGGAAAGAAAACAAACACCTAACAATAGACGCTCAGTCGAATGTTGCGGAGAAAGCACGTTTTGATATTGAAATACAAAAGTATATTATTAGACATCACCTGATCGGCTTTATCTGGTGGCAAAGAAAAGACATTGCAAATTTTTGGAAAGCATACATTGTTTTTATTACATCAGCAGTTCATTGTGATGAACATAGGCTTATAGGGGAGGTTTTGCCAGCAGTTGCCACGCTTGGCAAACGGGCACCGAAGTTAGACTTTGGTGATGTTTTAAGAGGGACGCTGCTGTCCATCCCTCGGCCATTAAGTTCGTTTAGTCGCTCATAATTATCATTGTTCCGCTCTAATTGTATATCGTGTTATAATTCAAACTCTTCGTTACATTGTCACCATGGGGTGGCATTAGGGGGCAATGCCTACCTTAAAAAACCCAATGCCCTACCTTAAAATGAAAGGCCCCAAGAAATATTTATTTATTTCTTATTGCATTCCATAATATAATCAGTAGATAACATTTCAATTATGGACCCTGTTGGGCACAGCAAGTAGGAGAGAGCAGGACAACACTTCTTTCACTTTAGAAATAGTCTAAGGATCTGTTACAATATTATCCAGTATATATGGCTTCTGCCATACCAAAAAGTTCTTTTGCCCTACCTTAAACTTGGGTCTAGCTACGGCCCTGATTGTCACATTTTTATAACACCAAATCCAAACTAATTTTAGTATCTTAATAGATTTTTTATTTAACACTATTACATAATTTTGCTTACATTGATAGATATGCAAGTTTTGTAGTGATTCATTTGTTTGTGACACCCAACGGCATTAATTGATACCGTTGGCCCATTAGCGTGCTCATTTAGAATATTTCTCATGCGAGTAGGTATTACTGTAAATTGTATATTAAATGATCATCGATCAAAGTCTTCGGTTAATCGGATTTGATTAGTCATATTTTTGATGTCTATTCATTAAATATTAGATATTACAGAATTTATTTATTTATTCATTAATACAAATATGTGTACATGGCGGACTCAATGCTAAAAGTATTCTCTCCCAGTCAACCATAGGGAAGTGTCAGAATACTCGAATGCGGTACTAGTAATTATTGATATACATACATACTAAAATTACATATATAAAGGAATAAATATATATTGTCATTGTATAACTATTTACTGAAAGAGGAGTTAAAAAAAAATCAAAGATGTACACAGTACAGTACAGTTTACAAAACCAGCAAACACAATGGGGTAATAAAAGACTCTGTTTTTAGCTGTAGACACTTCATAGTGGTTGGACAAGGAAGAAGTTTGAATGCACTAAAAGCCGTGTTTCAATAGATTTCACAGTGCCATACAATGCAGTCGAAGACAAACCGAAGTGTCGGAGGAGTGTTACATACGAGTAAATTATTTAGCCGCGCGCCCAAGAGCTGCGCAAATATTAGTTGTCAGGCACAAGTGGCACAGTACATTCAGGCGAGCTCTTAAAAACAGTTTATAGCTTGCAAATGGGTGTATTTCGCATGCACCCGATGCCCGATACCGTTATCGACCTAAAAACTTGTAGAAAAACAACGTATTGAATTTCAAATGACACGCTTCCTGTTTTTAGGAATTAAACTAATAAATTATAGCAACAACGGTACCGCGATATCAAATCGTTAATGTAATCCTAATCTTGTTGTTGGAACAGTTAAATTTAATCTTGGAACGTATATAAATAAAACTATACGCGTGAAATTACTGTCGACTAAAAAAGAAGTACACAATTTTTTTTAAAGCAATCTTTTTACGCTTTGGTGTAGATAAATGAATAATGCAGATTTTTTTTTTCAACCAACTTCATAAAGAAAGAGGTTGTGGACCTCCTGTAGTTGTAAACCGATTTATAAAATTGTTTTTTTATCTAAAAGAATATACTTACAGATCGCTCTCATAGAAATTTTATCAAAATCGATTCAATCGTTTAGATTTTAACTCAAAATAACTCGTTTTGCTACCACGTCGAGTTTTTTTTTTTTTTTTTTTTTGTGGAAAATGTTAATTTATTTTATAACAAGACTGCGGAACACAATCTTATTTATTTATACGATATAGTGCCTCGGAACGGCTACATTTGTTCATAGGTTATCAATTATATGAGACAAAAGTACAAAACGATATCAAACAAGAAGTAATAAAAAAACAAGAGCCTATTTCGTAGTTTTATTTCTCTCCATTGAGCAAGTCCTTGACTTTTCATGACCCGCTTTCATTATCAAAGCTCGGTACATCGCACAGCCCAAAAATTAGGCAGCTATCTAATAATAGTAGTTGCATTTCGCATCTGCTTCGCAACGAACGTGTCTGCTTTCGAAACTGTTCCGAGAACAGTGCACTTGTGTCCGCCTGCGCCGGCTGTGTACAAAAATAAATACAATGAACACTTTCCCGCGGCTGCACCGACAGTTCACGTCGCAACCGACAACTGGTCGCGTACAAAACTGACTTTTTACAAGAACACAATAAGGTTGGATATAAGAAGCGTGGCTGACGAATTACGTTATTCTGTTGTGCCGAGTCGAGAATGCGATGCGTCACGGAGCGGCAGCGAGGGAGCGGCGCGGGGCGCGGGGGCCGGGGGAACGGGTCATCGTGCTAAGCGCGCCACATAATATAGCTATAGGTAGCGTTGTTTGATCAAATCTGTAGCATAGCGTAGGTATAGATATGGTTTACGCTACGCTGCCGCTGTTGCCAGCCGGCGGTGCGCTCCGAAGGTCACCGAGATAGGCGGACGACTGATACGCGACGTCGTACCTACTTATAGGTAGATACATATATACACACAAGCAGGAATGTTCAGTTTGTACAAGAGTTCGCGTAAATACATTTGAAGCGTGCAAACAGCGCCTTAAGAATATGTTTCATACAGTTACGTATCAGGCCCGGATAGTACCGGATCTTTTTTAGCCTACAACGTGGCAACATTTTACGACAGACCGATTAGAGTAAAGCAATTCTTAGTTCATAGACTGATGGAAAGATGTCAAATTCACTATTTTCAGCGTTTAACGACATCACAACGGTTATCTGCGAATGCCTTATATAATAAGGCGGACAATATTTTACACGAGACACGGAAAACATATTTCTGTATTTATTCCAAATATAATTAATTTAAAAAAGAGTTGGTTTTAATACCAATATTCTATAATATTACAGTCATTTCTCTATGTAACTTAGAAAAATAAAATTAATTAAAAGAAATTTCGATAAGGAATTTGTAAATGTCAGTTAGGTGGTATTGGTGGTTGAGCGTCAATTTAGTAAAACTTTTTTATTGATTTTTATTGCCATCTGGTAGTGTTTTATCATCTACTTGTTTGCCATTAAACAATTTTTTTATGCAACTTAGAGTGACAATCAAGCTGACGGCCCACCTGATGGAAAGTGGTAACCGTCGTCTATAGACATGAGCAGTACCATGGACATAACAGAGTATACTGTTTCGCCCATGATACCCCCATGCGTTACTATTCCTGAGGACTCAGGTATTATTCTTCTGTACCCTGTAAATTCTGTCTGTCTAATTCTGGGTTCTGTACCTCGAAAGGAAAACGGAATCCTTATAGGCTCACTTCGTTGTCCGTCCGTCCGTGTGTCAAGACCCTTTTTCTTAGGAGCGCGTGGAGGTATCAAATTGAAATTAATATCATATACACAGGTCTGCAATCTCTTAAAGCAGAGAAAAAATCGAATTTCTAAATCGACGCAATCAAAAGATACGGCCGTTTTTGTTCCATTTATATCGCATATTTTGAGATTCACAAAGGGAATCAAAACCATATAACTATAACGGTACTTCCTGTTGAACATGAAATTTGACAAGAACCAATGCCATGTAGCAAAGGACACCAATGCCATGTAAAGGAAAAAATCCTAAAACCGTAAATTTGTAGTAAGTTCACAAAAAAAAAAATTAACTTGATGATTTTGTACAGAACCCTCGTTGCGCGAGGCCGACTCGCACTTGACCGGCGTATTTATATAAACGATCGACTGTTACAAGTTACTTTATTCAAATGATATCGCCAACTACTAGTTATTCTTTCCCAATTATCTTGTCTACTGTCGGTCCGTCTAGTTAAAATGCAATGTACCTACGTATCATATAATTTTCCTGTACTCATTTACCAGCTGTACATTGGAACAGGATCTCGTAATGGTCAACCAAGCGCGTATACTCGACTAATGATATATATCTACAAACCAAGGGTGACAATTGTTAATAATAATGCGTGAATTTACTGGGTACAGAGGAATAACACCTGAGTCCTCAGGAATGACAACGCATGGGGGGTATCATGGGCGAAACAGTATACTCTGTTATGTCCACGGTACTGCTCATGTCTATAGGCGACGGTTACCACTTTCCATCAGGTGGGCCGACAGCTTGTTTGCCATTCTAAGTTGTATAAAAAAAAAAATGGGGCTAAAGGCCCCACTGCTAGCAATGTATAATTTTTTTTTAATTTTTAGACTACAATTAGATCCATTTTGTTAGCAACAATTTCCTTACAAACTATGTTAGTAAACAAAAAAGTATTTTTTTTTTACAACACAGGGGGCAAACGAGCGTGCAGCACACCTGATGGTAAGTGACTACCGCCGCCCATGATCACCCACAACAACAAAGGCATTGCAGGTGTGCTGCCGACGTTTTAAAAGGGAATATAAAAATTGAAGTAAAAATTTAGCAATTACCAATTAGCCTAACCAAGCGTGGCAACTACTAGGAAAACCCCCCAAGGGGAGGCCTACGTTCAATAATGGACAATTATCGACCGATATGATGATAATGATACGAATTCATGTTGTTCAAGAGACAAGAACAGCTATTGTAAGCTGACAGCCAACCTTTCACTTTCTAATAGATGATATCGGAATGGTAACCCCACCAGCGTTATCGGTATCTATTGGATGGGGCACCAGTGAGGAATGATAGGTGGGAATGAAAAGGCAGGTAGTTTTTTTTCAATGGATGATAATGGTACGGTAACCCCGCCTGTGCTATCGGTATACACTGACGGGGCACCAGTGATAGAGATGATAGGTGAGGATGAAAAGGCAGATCAGTTAGCCCATTGTGACAAATTCAACGATAAATTAGATGTCACGATGGTTTCCAGGGGGAACCGCGTGGAGGTCGACCTGATACGGTAAGTTGACAGCAATAGGAACTAACCTCAACATTACTGACAATCTGACTGTTGTAAAAACAAACGAAACTGAGTCCAAAAATTAGGAATTCATTCGATGGTAAACCCCCAGATCTCTTTATACACAAGGAAGTAATCACACTATTTAAATAATCACCAATCCACTCAGCCTACAGACGGTGAGTCATCACAGTATATGATGTAACTCCCCTAATAAGGAAAACATGTGTATTTACTTATATATCTGAGAGTGTTCTCAAGTCAATTCTCAAATGTTTTTGTTTCAACGTTCATTAACAAACTCTTGGCTCCGACTGTCGGACATTGATTTATTGAATTCCACTTGTTAAGATACAGTAATGGAGGTTTCCGTCCCTTCTGTTTTTCAAAAATTAATAATGTATTTTATAATTATGTCAATCAATATTCAAAAACTTGAGTTTGGAATCCAGAACCTTCTGTCTTTTCATGAAAATTTAGGGTAAATGTAAACAAAATATACTGTATTGCTTATAGCAGGACCAGGCACGTTGGCAACCCTCTCACAAAGGGGGGAAAGGGATTGTTAATAATGGGATCTAACAGCCCCATTGCTAACATACCCTAACAGGTTAACCGGGGAGAAGGAATTGTTAGTAATAGGGAGTTTAGTCCCCATTACTATCAATATACCCTATCAGATCGACCTCCACGCGGTTCCCCCTGGAAACTATCGTGACCAATTTATCATTGAATTTGTCACGCTTGGCTAAGAAAAATAAATTATATTTAGCCAGAGATCACTACTCACTCGACTCCGAAGACCCACACAAAGACAGAGACAGTGTCCTTGAGACAGTAACGCTACAGTGAAGTAAACAAATAGTCACTGTCACGCGCGAGTTTGACAGCCGAGTGTCTACGTACCTAGTGGTACGTATAAATACCTCGCGATGCGCGGGAGTCGAGCGCGGTGGCGCCACGGCGCGGCGCAAGGACGAAGTAACACGTGGTGACCGGGACACAGCGTGGGGGTCACTTGCAGAATTGTTGGCTTTATTTGTGTAATACATCATACTTTAGTAACGTTGATATACCTTTTAAATTTCAATTACTATTATAAATAGAAAAGTTGATTAATACAGGACTACCATTGTTTTTTTTTTATTTCAGTACATTTTTTTTCATACAACTTAAAATGGCAAACAAGCTGACGGTCCACCTGATGGAAAGTGGTAACCGTGGCCTATAGACATGAACAGTACCATGGACATAACAGAGTATACTGTTTCGCCCATGATACCTCCCATGCGTTGCCATTCCTGAGTACTCAGGTGTTATTCCTCTGTACCCAGTAAATTCACACCATATGCCACCCTTCAAACCGAAACACAACTGCTTCACGGTTGAAACACGAAAAGGACAGAGGTACCCAAGCAATCGACTTTTGTACAAAGTCTCCTTTTGGTACATTCCGTCTTTTACATTCCTTAAAATTCTTATAATGATATAATATTAAAAAGACAATAATCTTTTTATTGAGGATTTATTAGATACAAATTTTTGTATGAAATTTTAATTTAAAAAAAAATCTAAAATAAAATATTATCTGGATGCGCAGCCCCTAACAAATGCCCCCCCCCATTTGTTAGGGGCTGCGCAGGCAGTTGCCTACAGTACCTATAATAGATATACCGACTCTGGATCCATATATCAACATACTAACTAGTAAATCCAATTCAGGGAGGAAGGAATTGATGATTTGATGAAGGATGGGATCGGAGGTACGATGGAGAATTGGGGTCATTGACTATGTTATAAAGGAGAGGTACATATTGATATAAAGAAAAATAACATCTGCGGGTCTCAATTTCGTGTTTTTGTTTATACCAAAATCGGACCAATAAATGGAGTGTAACATTTCGTTCGTCATACATCCTATCATAAAAGTCCAATGGAACAATATTTTAACATTTTTAATATTTCCAAACGGCATGTATTATGTAATTTTAACATCAAATTTGTGTTTCGTTTGGCTCCGAAATTTCGGAAAACATTTCACGGTAGGCCCTCTGATGTCATAATTGGTGACGATGTAAATATGCAGCTATCTATAACTACGCACTACAATAGGTTTATCTAAATGAGTGTCCATTCATTTTGTTATATAGATTATGGCACACTTATTGTTAAAATAATGCGTTTTACTATTTATGCTTTTTGAACTTATGGACGACACGATTTCCATCTGCATTTTTATAGAATAAATAAATTGTTCGAGAGTGGAAATTTTATATTTAGATATCGGTAGATTCTAATGATTTGATTACGCATTGGTATTATTTTATTACATTTTCCTAGAAGTGTGATCAAATTGATCATAATAAAATACTCGTAGGTAGAATTGGATATACGTGAATGTGGAGGAAGCGAAAGAGGTTTGTTTGAATCGAAGCATTTGGCGTTCCATTGTTTCTGCCTACCCTAATGAGAGACAGGCGTGACAGATATGTATGTATGTATGTATGAATATACGTTTTTTAATGGATGATAATGGAATGGTAACCCCGTTTGCGATAACAGTATACGCTGGTGGGGCACCAGTGATAGGTTGATAGGTGAGAATAAAAAGGCAGTTTAGTTAGCTTATTGTGATGAATACACTTGGAATTCAGCACGAAGGTTTTTAGGGAGGACCACGTGGAGGTCGACCTGACAGGGTATATTCCTAGCAAAGTGACTGGTGGTTCGCAGTACTAACAATCCTACAACAGGCCCATCCTGACGAATTCAACAATAAATGAATCAAGATGGTTTCCAGGAGGAATTGCGTGGAGGTCGACCTAATAGGGCATTTACAATTATGTTATTTCACTAATACAAGTATGAGGTAAAATAAACAAAAATATACACACAAATTGATAACAGAATGGAAAAAGGACGTGACAAAACTTGAACATAGGTGTCACCCAGTACGCAGTAAGCCTTAGTGCAAACGGAGGTCACCGCAACCTTCGTTTGCCTTCCCCAAACGCCCAATATTTATATTAATTCGCAAATGTTCCTCACACTTCTTTGTCTGATAAGCTCGTGATAAGATAAACAGGTGACTTAATATTAGCAGTGTCTGCCAAAACCACAGTATGAAATTCTTGACAAATATTTGCCTGATATATGTAGTCATATGATTTCGAATGAACTCAAGGAGTTGAAGATTCGGAATGACAGTTAGATTTAGATAAGAATTAAACTCTATTAATCGGGGGATCGGTTTTTTTTTTTTTGATGGGTAAAAATGGTATAGTAACTCCGCCTGCACTAACGGGATACGCTGGCGGAGCACCAGTGAGGGGTGATAGATGAGAATGAAAACAGGCCCATCATGATGAATTCATCAGGAATTAACCATGATAGTTTCCAGGAGGAACCGCGAGGAGGTCGACCTGGTTGGGTATATTGCTAGCGAAGGGATTCTCAGTCTCCATTACTAACAATCCCTTTCCCCCGCGAGCGATCGGTTATAAATAAACATCTATATCTTATTTCGAGATTGGATAATTTAATAGCAAATTCAGATGTTAAAGTCACATTTTTGTGTAGCAATATGGAAAACGACAATGACATGTGGTCTCAGAATAGAATAGGCCATCCCTACCTTTCCCGTGGGTGTCGTAAGAGGCGACTAATGGAGGTCAGGGGATGGGCAGCAGCGTCCCTCTAAAAAGAAAAAGTCAAAGTCTGTTGGTAACAACCCGCCTGCCAAGCGTGGCAACTACTGGCAAAACCCACTCTATAGGGCAAAATGTTCATCAGTGATAACGAGTGATATGATAACGATGATCACACTCCGGATTCTCACGGCTGTAATTCATTACAAAACATTCAGTGAAGGGGGGGAGGGATGAATTGTAAGTTTAAATTAATGACCCCATTGCTATCAAGTTGATCTGGATGATGGACTTTTTAAGCGGACGACGTGGATCCCCTCCTCCCTCAACCCTCGTCAGCGTAAATTCATCGTGGTAATTCCTGGTGACTTAATCACGACGAGCGAACCGAGCTGACTTTACCCTCATCTATAATCCTTCACTGGTAACCCGCCAGCATATACACACAGCGCTAGCGGTGACCCTATTCCATGTTCATTCCATTAATATAAAAACATAAGTAATTAAAAAAATATCTAAATGACAGTGAAACCTGTATCAAAATCAATTGCATGATGAACAGCTTTGTTTCTTGCCCATTCTTCTCAGCTGAAATTGCATTCCGAAATGTAGATTCATAAAAATAAAATACTTTTTTACAATACGGGGCAAATGAGCATGCGGCTCGCCTGATAGTAAGTGACTACCGCAGCCCATAATCACCCACAACACTATAGGTATAGCAGGTGTGCTGCCGGCCTTTTAAAAAGGAATATGCTCTTTTCTTGAAGGTTATGTTGTCGTATCGGTTCGGAAATATTGCTGCTGGAAGTTGATTCCAAAGAGTGGTTGTGCTATTCAAAATTGCTTATTTATTTATAATTTATTGTACACAAAAATTACATAGTAAAAGTCTATATAAAATAAAGATGTACAACAGGCGAGCTTAACTCTGTAAGAGTTCTCTTCCAGCAAACACTGAGTGGGAAGGAGCATTAATTACCACTTTAATTGAATAAAAAATATTTTTATTTAGAAAAAAGAACAGACAGACACGGTTTGAAAATTTGTTTTGTACTATATAATGATGTAAGTATAATAAGTTTTAAAATACGTATCGTACATGTAGGTACTTGGTTATACAGGCAGTGGATAAGAAAAACGAAGTTATCATTCTTGCCGCCGGAGGGTTGGTTACTTGTTTTTTCAGCGTTGTAGAGCCTTAATGGGGGCCGAAATAGCTCCCCCAGCGTTTCAGGGGAATTGCGCTATGAGGGAGGATGCGAGTTTTAGGATATAATGGTTGTTTTCCGAGCCTTTGTTAAGCGGGTTAAGACTTGGGATGCGTAAATTATGTATCAGTGTAGTGTACGCTGAACAATATACGTTGTAAAGGATTTTGTTAAAAAAATACTAGCTGTATTCCGCGACTTCACCCGTGGTAGTGTCGTGATGTTCCTTTTTATTCAATTACTATGTTGTTTGAAAGAAAAATAATTTATTTAGTGGCAAACATTGGAACGGCTAACAATAAAAATAAATTCTAGTCACTAGAAAGGCTCCTAGTCAGCATGTGTCGTTTAGGTATAAATACCCTGTTTATGAAGAACCAGGCAATAAACATCTGAGAACAACTGAATTGTCTGTTATGACCTTCCTCGAGAGATGAGCTATCGAATGCAAAATTAATTTTCCAAATCTGCCAAAAATTTGCATTATTACAAAAAAATTGTTCTAGAAATTAGCGCATTCAAATCAACAAAAAATCATACAAACTATTTATATAATATATATTAGTACTAGCTTTTACCCGCGACTTCGTCCGTGTGTCGGGGATATGTTTACTGATCAAGATAAAAAGTCGTCTACGAGGTCTGTCCGGAAAGTTCGTATAAAAGTGTTCTGGAATGCGAGAAAGAGGAGTGGGGAGGCCAGGTAAGCGCAGGACCCCTTCCTTATGTCCCTAACAATGCTTCAGTTCTGGTCTGACCGCCGTGCGGTGCGAACTGGCTTGTCACGCCATCTGTGAAGTTACCTCTTAACGAAACCCCGTCGGCACCGGAGCCCGCTTCCGTTGAAGAGCAGCGCGTCGTAATCAAGTTTCTCTCGAAACTCGGCAAGAATGGCCGTGAAAGCAAAGAGTGGAAGACATCCGGGG